TTTCGGGAACATAGGTACGGGAAGGGGGACTTGACGCTGGGGACGCTCGATCTTCCGGTTTGGTTATGGGTTTCCGGCAGTGAGGGCAACTGTCGTGTTGTTTCAGCCATCTTGTCACGCAGTCACCGTGAAACCAGTGATTGCATGGAAGGACGGTCACTTCGCTACCCCACTCCACATTGACCATACATATCGAACATTCAGCCTTCCCTTCTTCGCCTAGCATGTCCCCATCCACCTTCTTCTTTTTGAGAGACAGGATAGCTTCTCCGGAGGCGGGCGGAGGTCCGGGACTTGCATTGTCTCGTTCCGAGAGCTGTCTGACCATGCGGTCGAGCATTTCTGAGTCATCCCTATCCGGTCGAATATTTGAGAGATTAAGAATTCGATCGAGAGAATCGAAAGGCGAAAGCGGCTGGCCTCCTCTTCGTCCATCGTCAGCGCGGGGATCACGAAGCCCTTCTGATCGCATTGAATGCGGATCCGCTCGCTGTGAGTGGAATTGGCGTATTTCCGATCCGCCTGCGGCTTGTCCTTGCAGGAATATGAAGGGGCGTGGCGCGCCCAAAAGAGCAGGCATGGTTCGATTCGGTAGTTCATCCAGTCGGGAAAGCAAAGGTCCCATCACTTCTTGCAGGTCATCCGGTCGTACACCTCGTCCACTGCTTCTCTTTGAATGGTTGATGGCAACCCTCTGCCCCCTTCCGCCGTCGGCTGTAGGCTCGAACACTGTGGAGCCGATTCTTTGATCGTCGTGCGCGCCTTCGGCCCGAAGATTATGAATCTGTCGCTGAGTGTGCCGGCGTAGATGATTAGGAGGTGACCATGGCAACAGATCGAGATTGGAGGCGGGAAAGGCATCGCCGGGCCGAAGTTGAGGGCTTGTTTCGGTGCGAGGGCAGTTATAAGGCCTCTGTATGCGTACAAATTCAGCCAAGTTTCCTTGACGCCGAGGACCGTGTGCATGAAGCGGTTCGTTCTGGCCTTGGCGACAGCTCTCCTCACGTTGAGGTCTTGACATGGCGGAGCTTTTAAAGAATGGTTCACGTGCACAGAGAGGTTCGAAGTAGGACGGTCGTTTTGCGCAATCTGGGCGTCGAGCGTCAATCAATTTATAGGTAGCGGATAATGGGGATTCTAGATCACAAATATCGGGGGTAGCAGGATCCGTCCTACGTGCTACGGGATGGTGAAAGGTGTTCTACGACGCCCGAAATGTCGTTCGCAGCCACGTTATGGGCCGGGTTGATCGAGAGCTCAATTAAACCCCCCGTCCCGGCACCGCCGCGTTGTCGGCGTCAAGGGTGGTTCGGGTTGCAGGCGGCGATCTGCAAAATCGGGCGCTCGTGATTCCCTCCACGCATCAATGCGGTAACAGATAAATCTTACCGGCATTCCAGTCACATAAATCGTCTCTGTTGGCCCAGGCAGCGAGAAGCGAGGACGTTGAAAGACTCCACTCCCTCCAAAGACGGAGAGATGTCCTGTCCATTACATCGACTAGACCCCCTCGTTGATCAAATATCGAGTCACCTAATGCCTCCTTAGACCGAATGATTTCAAATTGTGCCCTTTCCCCCTTCCAGAGAATTCAGCTCCCCGAGCTGCTGGTCGCGGCCGATCGTGCCAGGAGGTGTGAGCTAGAGATTGCCGAAGATGTCAGGAAGGAACATTCCAGTTCTTGCTAATGGCACAGTGGCGTACATAACGTGGACTGTTAGACACCGGCAGAGGTAAATCTCTGAATCTTGGTCTATTCCATCTAGAGAACCCCAGGGCTTTCGCCCATCAACATGGCAGAAGCTTTCCCATGGCGCTAAGGTCTGCCCGCCTCCGAGGAACGTTCAAAGCAGGAGCGCCGCATTGGGTGGAAGGATGGTACACTATCTAGCAGGAATGGCCGGGGCATGGTCTATATCAGCGCCATTCACTCCCGTCGGTGCCGCGTGTTCGTCAGCCTTGTCCCTCCGAGGCTTGACCGACACCGATACTTTCGCCTCTCCCTGTCCTCGGCGGTGCACTCGGTGGCGATCATGACTAGGAGGGTGACGATGGCGGCGACGGCGATAATGCTGGTGGCGGTCACGGTGGTCACGGCGGTGACGAGAGTAGTGGTAATCGTGGTGATCGCGGCGATGATGGTGGTGATGACGGTGACAGTACCGATGATGGTTGCGAACACGGTAGTGGCGATGGTGGTGATGAACGTGGTGATGGTGATGAGGGTAGCGATAATGGTCGTGACGATGGTGGTGATGGCGGAGACGATGGTGGTAATGACGGTCACAATGGTGGCGATGGCAATAATCACCACCAGCGGCAAAACTGGAAGATCCACTGATGCCAGCCACGAGGAATATTGATTTTCGGTATCGGATACTTGGGCCATATTATCGTCGCTGAAAACCGAAGTGGCGGAAGATAGCTGTGCGAACGGCCGGGGGGTGAGGAAGTCAGGACAATGTCGTCGCTCTATTCCCTGCTAGAGGGCCGTGTGTTATATAGTTCCAACTTTGCTCTTTTCCGCCGCACCACCGAAAACAGACCTACTGGGCACGAGGGTAGCCCGGAAGACGGTGTTGCGAGCTGTAGATAAAATACTATACGGTCTGAATATTTAGTCTAATTCAGAGTTTCGACGGGAGTAACTCCCCCTCGCCGGAGAGAAAAGAAGGGGAACGAGAAAGCTTCGCGTAGGGTGGGAGTGGCCGAGACCGTCTTTACCCCTCCCGGCGACCTAATTTGCGGTGTCGCGGCTTCTCGTGCGACAGACTGCGAAAGCAATAGCTGGCGAACCCACTGTTTCTTGCCACCAATCGGGTTTATGTGGCGCCGCTCCCCCCGTCACTAGCGTCGTTTCCCCTTGCGCACTGATTGGACGCTGCTATGTACCTTTTGGACGTCCTATGTACCATTCTACAGCCGTGGTATTCTGCCTGCGCCCCCAATAAAACCGCGATGTGCAGCTTCAGTGATGTCTCGCCACGTCGAATCTTCTGTCAAAAAGTTGTTTTAATCGACTTAGGACCATCCGTTGATGAGACCAACCGCGGTCGGCCCGCACCTTGGCGGCGGCAAAGAAGGATCGTTGAAATCTAGGAGGAGGAGGACAACGGAGGCCGATTGGATAGAACTGGAACCGAAGCTCCGGCAACTCTACATCGTGGAGGGGAAAACGAGGAATGACATCTTGAGAATAATGAAAGAGGATAGTATAACGTGAGGATTGTCATGACGTTAGTGGCTCGTCTGCTAATAACTTCCTCCTCAGACCGAAGCAACTCAAATACTGGCTCCAAAAATTGGAGATCCGTAAATACAATAAAAAAAAA